GAGCTCTGGTGGCCTAGTGCAGGAAACTGCACTGCAATCCCAGAGGTGCGCGGTTCAAATCCACCAGATGCTCTGCTGAAGAAGGAGAAACAGTCACCTCCTGTACCAGTCAGATCCAATTTGATGGTACACACATAAAAAGAATAAATTTTTAAAAAAAGAGGTACACTGCAAAGGGGACTGTGGGGGGCAGGGGCGGGGAGAGGCAATTGTGCAACAATGAATTTTTTTAAAAAAAGGTGAGCTCAGGGAGGAAGGAGGGAGGGAGAAGGGGTAAAATGTGCAACAACGAATGAATGAAAATCTAACTTTTCTGTAAACTTTCATTAAAATCACAATTAAAATAAAAAATTTATATTAAAAAATGAAAACGTTTTTAAAAACCAGGGGAAAAAATAAGGAATCCGTTTCACATTGTGTATGTTGTGGATTAGAACTATTTCCGCTTGTGAGGTTCATGGAGGTCAAACTCAGCTGCACCTGTGGGCCTTGCACTGTTTTTCACAGTGACCCTGCTAGTATTTTAAATATCCGTGGCACCGCTTCAGCATCACAGCAAGACACCCACACACACAGAGTAACCTGAATGCAGGGTGCCTTCAATACCAAACCAAAGACTCGGAATCACTGAAAGGTTTTGAGCGATGGAGTCATTTGATTAAATCTGTTCTTTAGCAAAGGTTAGAAAAGGCAAGAGTAAAGTCTGGGAAGGCCATCGGGAACCTTCATGATCGGTCAGTTGTGTCTTTAAGCAGATTTAATGAGGAAGGAGCCAGAATGCAACAGTTTTGGTGGTGGTTGTTTATTATTAATGGTGCTGGATTTTACAATCAAACAATAAAATTAGAATTTTATTTTCTATGATAAGAGAGCTTTTCTCATTCATTCTCTCTCTTATCAATTGTTGCCAGAGGCCTACCTAGGCTTTCTTCTGAGAGACACATCACAAACCCCCACCTCCAGCCAGGCTTTTCTTATCCCAACAACATCTTCATTTTGCCTCATTTTTCATCCAATCTAAACCAACCCCTCAGGAAAACCCCAGCCTGGAGCCACTTGCCAGAGTCACCGGGCCCTTTCCCACAGCACCACCAACAACACCTTCCATGCCATCATCTGCCCTGAGAAGGGACCAAAGCCCTGCCTACTCCCAAAGGCCTCTCCCTCCAGAAGAGAGGGACTCTCAGGCCAGGCCTCAGTGGCTACTCCAGAGCCCAAATAAATGGGCCTCTGGGTTAAAAATCAAAGAAGGTGTGAACCGGCAAACACGCAGTGAGAATCGGGAGAAGAGGACTGTCCACCCTCCACAAGCAGTGAAGCCCGAGGTAGGATTAGCATTCACCTCTTTGGCTGAGTTGGCAAGGTGTATTTTAACAATTTTTCCTCAGTACACAAGGCACTCAGCATGCATATTCTAGAGACAACGAAGTAATATAGGGGTAGGTAGTATCTCAACCAAAACCTTCACTGCCGAACCATCACTTCTGATTCACCTCATAAATTTAAGTGTGGATGAAATTTATGGGGGATTTCTAGCTTTATGATAGGCGATTGGATAGTGTGAGGCAGCGGTTCTGAAGGGGGTGATCCTGGGACCAAGTTCTCCAAGGTACGGCCAGCCCAGGACCTGCTGAATCAGAAGCGCAGAAAACTGTGCTGTAACAAATCTCTCTGAGGATTCTGACACATCTTCATGTTGGAGAGCCACTGTCCCAGTGAGAGGCCTCATGGTCTAGACATCCAGCCCTGATGCTTCTGATAGTGACGGGAGTCTAAGGCTAAAGGAACCACTTACTCCACAGAGGAACTCTAGTGGCCCTAGTCAGAAGGGAATTGCCTGGTAAAGCCAAAGGTGGCACCTCTCTCTCCGGTGGTTCGAATCCACCAACTCCTCCTCAGGTGAAAGATGGACAATCTCCCCTGGTGCCATTTACAGCCTCAGAAAACCCACTGAAGGATTAGCTGTGAGTCTGCTGGAGTCTAAAGCAACGAGTTTTTCATTATACAGGGGTCCTCAGGTCTGAGCCCTTTTCTCTCTCTTCCTTACCCTCAGCTTCCTCCTAGAGTCCCAGGCAGCACCCCCACCATTGCGCCTTTACCCCTTGTCTTTCCTGTTCCCAAACTCACATTTCCCCCCCCCCTTCCCCACAGATTCTCCTGTTCAATACTTCACTCCAAACTCTCACCTGGATCTGCACCCTACCCTCCCACCCTTCTTAGAACCCCTGGAGACCCCTAATGCCTGTCCCCCTCGGTGCAGTCTTCAGCCCCAGCAACCCCTACCCTCACCTGTCTCCCCCAGTACTAAAGAACAAAGTCTGAACCCCTGAGTCTCCTGGCCCCAGCACCCCTCACCCAGCCAGGCCCGGGGCTCAGGCCTCCCCACCATCCTGCCCCACCAGCAGCAGCGGCTGCGCGTTCTTGCCCTTGTCATGCCAGCACACGTCAAAGAAGGGGTACACTGGCCCGGGCAGCCGCTCGCGGAAGGCAAAGAGTAGCCCCAGCTCGTCGGGGTCGCTGGCGTCGTAGAAGGAGAGGACGCCCTCGCCGAAGCTCAGGTAGAGGCCCAGGCGCGTGGGGCGCCTCTCGGGCGCGGGCAGCGGGCGCGGCTCCTTGGCCTCCACGTGCGCCTCCAGGGTCTTGCCGTCGCGAAGCCCCAGCAGCCAGAGGCCCTGCGAGGGCACCGCGTGCAGCCGGCCACGGCGACCCGCGTCGGCCGCGATCACGCCCAGGCCCCAGCGCGGCTTGTCGTCCACCTGCACCTCCCAGTAGTGCTCGCCCTCGGACAGCAGCTGGTGCGCCACCACCGCCACGGCCTTGTCGAACTGGCGCGGGTCCTCGGCAGCCGGGGGCGCCTTCTGCTCCGAGCACTCCACGCGGCGACCGGACGCCGACACCACCAGGCTCGGGTGCGCCGTGCTGGGGTCAAAGGTCAGCTCCACCAGCGCTGGCAGAGGGACAACAGTCAGGCCTCCCCCCTGCGTGGTGGCCTCTGTTGCGACCCTTTCCAACCCACCTTAACACTGAGTTGATGCGTTAGCCTGAGCTGGTCGAACCCCACCAAATACTTGGAGAGATGTTTTGCTTACTGACTCTGTTTTGTGCGTTTCCGTTTGCTCAGCTATAAACTAAGGCCATACTGTTTTCCTCCAGGGTTAGGGGGAGGAGAAAGTTGACACATGTAACACCATCCCAGGCCCAGAAAATCCCACAATTATCAGAATGGAATGGAAGCCTGGTTCTAGGCCAACGAGCCCCTAACCCACCTGGAGCCTGACCTCAGCTAGATTTGAAGCGACTTAGTATGAGTTTACTCCTGGATAAAATGTGGTTCCTCTGTCCTCATCTGTGCTGAATCTGGGGTGGGGGGGGGTTGGTTCATGGGTGTATGTCTGGGAGCACTATCATCCATGGAACCACGAACTCCAGCAAAGGGAGCCCACAGCCACAGGCTACCAGGGTCACTGTCTGACCAGGGAAGCCCCAGGGCCCCAGGAGTTCTGCAATTCTCAGCCATTAACTGGATGGGATTATCATCTCTGGTGGAGACACAGAAAGTGGCACATGGAGTCAAACCCAGACCCCACTCTCCCAGGTCTAATTCCATCAGCAGTAAGATTCCTGAAGTCAGCAAGCAACCACTCCATGTCAACTGTCAATCCCACACCTTCAAAGGTCTTTTACTTCCTCTGAGGAGTATGAGTTGTTGTTAGGTGCTGCAGAGTCAACTATGATTCAAATTATGAACATGTGGGAAACCGGAGGCCAAGGAGGAATATCCACCCTCTTTGACGGCTTCCTCAGCTGAGATTGGGAAGTCTTTCTAGGCATGGCTGGAGCCTCCATCAACCACACAGTCACACACACAAACCTGGTGCCAGAGCCCCTCCCAGTACCTGGCATCATGAGAGCCCGGAACATCTTCCTCCACACCTGGAATTTGAAGTCATCTGAGATGATCGGCAGCTGGATGTCCAAGCGGGCAGGCAGTGGGGACTCTGACAAGATCTTCTGCAGCCTGAGGGTAGGGAGGTTGGGGAAGGTGTCTGTGAGGGAGCTTCCTGGAGGAAGTGGTGGAGGGACCAGAAGTACACCAAGAACAGGACTGCATGGAATTCTGAGATCTGTCCATATCGCATGTCATCTTAAGACCCTTTCCCCTGCGATACAGTCCCCACTCTCAGCGCTTTACAGGTGGCCCTACCTGCCATACAGTTTCATCTGCTGTCCCACCAATCTCTATACCTGCTCATCCGTCTGCCTACAGTATTCACCCTCCAACTCCTTAGTCAATTCCTAGCCATTCTCCCAGAATCCCACTCAAGAGACTTAAATGGAGGTGTGCAAGTACAGTGTGGTGTCCCTAGAAGACTGGGGTCTGCTGGGGAAAAGGGCAAAGCCAAGGTTGCTCTCACCTGCTGGTCACCAGGCAGTATTTCTGGAGAAAGAAAAAGAGAGGATAGAGGTGAAGAGGGCAGGAGGGATACCAAGGACCTCTAGAAGAAGGTGCAGAATCAGAAAGAATCACGGAATCAAATGAAACTCCAAATTAGAGGCCCCCCTCGCTCTTTACCTCTGTGTCAACTAGGAAGAGAGGCAACTCCTTCCCGAGAAACTCAAATTTCACCTGTTATTGTTGTTGCTGTGTGCAGAGCAGATAGTGGATTCAAACCATATACCTTTGGAATTGTAACCTAACTTCTTTCCACTAGGCCACCAGAGCTCCAATTCTTCTTGTTAGATTGTCCTGATGAATACAGATTTACTGTGTCTAAGTGTCTTAAACGGCGTCCTTGTGCAGCGCTCATCCTAAACCCCTGTAACAGCAGCCTCAGTGTGTGACCCTGGTTCGCCCTTGCCTCGCTCTGGGCCTCATAGTCTTTGCCTGTGACATGAGTGAGGTCTCTGGGGACTGAGAACCCACCATAAGGAACTCAGTCTGCGGCTTGTCGGCCACCTCTTCCAGCACTTTCTCCATCTGCCGTAGCTGCTCCAGGTACGAGCTCAAGCCCCCCAGCTCCCGGCGCAGGGCGACCCCAGCCTCCTCCCGGACACGCTCAGCCTCTCGGTCCAATGATGCTTCCACGGCAGACAGGAACACCCGCATCTTGCCCAGCTGCTCCCCCACAGCCCCCCGGAACTGACGCACGGTCTCCTGTAGAGGGAGGTAGACAGGTCAAAGTCCTTGATGGGGGGGGCCTCCTAGAGTGGACCCCGAGTCCCCAGGCTTCGGCCGGCTGTGCCCTCACCTCCACCTCCACCAGCTGATGCTCCAGCACCGCCACGCTCTTCTCCTTGCGCATGCGTGCCTCCTGCAGCTGCAGCTTCTGCTGGGGGAGCTGCGTCTGGCGGTGGGGCACGAAGAAATGATAAGGATACCGTCCCCCCACCCCAAACCCACCTCTCCCACACTAGGCCTACCTGTTCCCTCTCAACCTCCAACCAGGCTGGTATCCGACCACTCGTGGCCCAGTGAATTCCTGCCCTTTCCCCTCCATGGTCTGTTTACTAACTGCCCCCTAGTCTGGCCCTCCCTGAGGCCAGACTCTCAGCAGTAAGAGCCTCAACACGAGGATGACAAACGTCTAGAGCAGGAAGAGCAGGGGGGCTGGCACACAGCAGGTATGGGGGGATGTGTGTTAAGTGGAACAAGAAGAAATGCAACCCCTGTTCCTAGATGTCACCCTGGACTTAAAAGTTGAATGTTATTCAAAAGCTCCAGTGAGCCTCCAGAACGCCCGTGGGTTCTGCAGGAGAGACTGTGGGGGGCATCTCAGCCTAAGCCGGCCTGTCTGGGAGTCCTGAGACACAAGTGGGGGAGAAATCCCCACGGTGACTGTGGAAGCCACTCTGCTCCTAAGGGGGACACTGGTCTAGAAAGGGGACCCAACAGGGCTCCAGTCTCGCCTCCTGTGGCTTCAGGCTACAGACTCTGTGCACTGGGAACAGGATCAGCCCCCCCCATCTCAGCCTGTGGTGGAGACAAACTTGTGCCCCTGGCCCTCCATCTAGGAGATTCTAGGCGTGCTGCTGGGCGAGGCTGCTTCCCCACCCATCACCAGGTTGGACCCTGACCAGCTGCCAGGCCAGGCTCCTCCCCAGACCACCCTCCCAGGCCTTGGTCCCGCCCGATTCTGGGCAAGGACGGCCAGGCAGTGAGCATTGGAGGCACAAAGGCTGCAGACTGAACCATGGGAAAGAAGCGAGACGCCGTCCTGGAGGCGCTGGAGAACTTGACCTCCGATGAGCTCAAGAAGTTCAAGCTGAAGCTGGGGGCAGCTCCTCTACGGGAGGGCTTTAGGAATATCCCGCGGGGAGCCCTCGGGCCCCTCGACGTGGTGGACCTCACGGACAAGCTGGTGTCATTCTACTGCGAGGACTACGCTGTGGAGCTGGCTGCCGCTGTACTGGTCGAGATGGGCTTGCAGGAGGAGGCAGGGCGGCTTAAGAGTGTCCAGTGAGTGAGTCCCTATTTATCCATTTCACCCTCAGCTTTGGTCCTGGATGCCTGATCTCTTCAGGCCCTCTGCTGTCCTCTTTTCCCCTCAGGCTCTTCCTTGGAGCCCTCACCACACCTCTGATGGGTTCCTTTCTGCCCCCTTGGGGTGGGCTAAGGAGGCCCCAGGAGTCCTGTATCCACATTCACTTACCCTGCGAGGAAGCACCTGGAAACCCCATTCATATCATGCTCACTTCTCTCTTTGCAGATAAAGACAGTCTAAGTTAGGCATTTGGAAGTCAACAGAGGTGAGTCTGGGATAGGAAGCCTCCTGGGAGGGCATCCCCTGCCCTGGACAAAGTGGGACACCAATTGTAAGCTTGGGGGCTGGAGTGGAAGAAAAGGGAGGGACAAGACTGAGCCCACATCTGGGTGTCTCAGATGCCACACTGAAGATGGGATCTACCCGACTCTAGGATTCCAGGGGTCAAAGAGAGGAGCAGAGCTGGTATGGTGCAGCAAAGACGCCCTCCCAGAAGCCTAAACTCCCAGAAATCTGCCTCAACGCCAGCCCAGGAAATGACCACCAGGTCTTCACTGCACTGTCTCCACCCCTGTCACTGACCTTTATTTATCTACAATCCAATAAACATCTCATGACAGACTGCCCCGCGTCTTTGTGGTCATATATTCGCCGCGTCTGTTGGCATGTGCATGTTGTGTCTGCCTCCACTTGCCATCCGTGTGATGTGTGTGTGTGTCTGTGTTGGTGGAGACCTCCGGCCACTTGTGAGCGAGTAGCTGCCTATATATGTGGCTTTTATTTGAGGTTCTGTGTGTGAGTACACACAGAGTCGTATTTAAGGTGTAAAGGGTATGGCACATAACATGGACGTCACTGGAGGAAGGGAGGCTTCACCGAGCACCTTCTTCGAACCATCACAGTTCCATGGACAGCAATGTGAGAGCATCCAGCCATTCCTAACAACGCTTTCATTAACAACAAAGCCTCTAATTGCCAGAGGCTTTAAGTAGATAAGTCGGGTCCTGGGTGCGCGCATCACTGTGCACGTGGTGGTGTGTGAAGTGTCTTGCCGTCATCCAGTAACTGAATCTGCTGGGGTTTTGCCGGAATCTCAAGCCTCAGGGTGCACACAACTGCACTAAGAAAATTCCAATTCCAACCAGAAAAACCAGCCTGGATTGGGTCTCCCATGCATAGTGATACTGCCCATGGCACGTTCTGTAGTTCCGGGGGCGCGTGGGCCTGCCGCTCCGCGGTGTGGCTGTGCAGCCTGGAACAGACCTACTGCCACTCTCTAGTCTGTGGCCTGTGCACGTGGATGAGCCAGCCAGAGGCACGTGCTAGGGCGCGCCACAGAGCAGTTCCTATTGGCCATCACCGGTTGCAGGACCAACTTTGAGAGATCATTGGCGATTTAAAACTAATCATTATAGGCACTCTTATCCATAGATACGCCCCTGGGGCCAGCCTGTTGGTATTACCCAACCCAGTTTACAGAAGCCAGAGGCTCTGATTGCGTCCCAACTCTACCATGCTCCGCACAAGTTCATCATTCAGGCGAGCTTGCGCATATGAGGCAAGGGAATGCAGGTTTCCAGCTTGAATCCGCGCCGTGGGGCTCCTCAAGACTCCCCTCTCTGCTCCACACCCCTATGGGCCTCTCTGGTCTGAGGACCTGGCCTGGCCGCACCAGACAACAGTGTTCCTTGCAACTCCAAGTTCCTATGCGCCCCCGACGCTCAGAAACGAGAGAACAGCAGCCCGCCCATCAGGCCCCGCCCCTCATCCGCCAGGCCCCGACCCCATCCCACCACGCCCCTGCACCTTGAGGCGTGCGTGGGCCTCGGCCGCCTGCAGTAGGCGGTGGCCGCGGTGCGCACCGAGTGAGGCGCACACACCGCACACGAGCACGCGGTCCTGCTCGCAGTAGATACTCAGCGGGTCCAGGTGCTCCTCACAGTGGCCCTGTGGCACCTGCGCCAGCCCCTCCACCAGGCGCGCCAGCTGCTGGTTGGTGCTGAGTACATGCGGCCGTGTGGGTGCCTGACAGCTCGGGCAAGGCACGCTGCCGTCGGCCGCCGGCTCCCCGGCCACCCGGCCCAGGCAGGCGCGGCAGAAGCTGTGGCCGCATTCGGTTGTCACGGGCGCGTCGAACAGCTGCAGGCACAGCGGACAGGACAGCTCCTGGTGCAGGAGGCGAGGCGCAGCTGACATGGTGGGTCTGGGTGGAGGAGAGGTTGATCAGGGGAGCCCAGTGGGGCTGGTACCTGGCCCAACCCCAATCCCAATCCCACATGGAGAGGAGACCCAGGTTACCAGGCCCTCTCACATTCCACCCAGGCAGGGACCCTGGTTCTGGCCTAGGAAGAAACAGTATTCTTTCTTAACCTCAAAGGCAGCTTTGACTGAAGTTCGGCCTGGTAAAAAATGGCCCCATCGAATAATTTCTCAAAACTCCAGTTCCTAAGCGCCAGCCCAAGTCCCAAGGACGGATTTACCCACTGTCCTTGTCCCTGTCTTAGCACCACGCCTCAGCCTCTGACCAAGACCAGGCCCCACTCCAGCCCAAAATTCTCCAGAGCCCTTATCCCTCCTGCCACCCCCCTTCAAAGCTCCCCTGCCTGCCCCCCAGGGCTCTCCCGCAGGACTTACACGTCTGAATGGAGATCTTGGGCCTAAAGAGACTCGGAGGCCCAGTCAGTCAGGACGAACCGCAGGCCAGTCAGAACTGTGTCAGAGACAGGTGTGGAGCAAGCAGCCAGCACAGAGCAGGGGGAGTGCGCCCGGGAGGGGCAGCTGGCTGTGGATGTCAGGGTGATGGGCTGACAGGAAGCCAGCCCAGGGCTATATTTAGCTGCCCTGCTCTTTCCCATCATTCTAAAAGTGAGGACTGAGTGGTCACTGGTAAGGCATCACATGTCAAGGCCACCTGTTCTGGCCCATCCTATTGTCTGCCCCCCCAGCCTGAAACCAGTGCTCTAGCCAGTAGACATGACTCCCCGCACCACAGAAAAGACAGAAACTGACAGGTATTCTTCTCCACTTCTACCCCATCCCATCATCCTGTGCTTTCCAGCCTCTCTTCTCCCCTTAGGGGACCCCACCATCACTTTAACCCACTCATGCTTAAAGCTGTGACTCATCAAGGCCACTCTGACAGTTCTACCCTAACCTGCATGTGGCTCTCACCCCCAAACACACCCCACCCCGAAAGATTTCCTTCCTCCACGACTGAGCCCACAAGCCATGGGCAAAGTGGGACACCAGTTATAAAACTCTGAAAAATCAATGATAGAGGGACAGCAGCATGACTGAATGAACTGAATCCAGAGCCTGCAGCCCACAGCCAATCCCATCCGTGGGGCCTTGGACTTTCAAGGTTCTCCTGCTGTGGCCTCTGACATCCAAGGCCCTTGACACAGCCAGGCTTCTGACTAAAGTACAGGGTGAAATCCATTGCCATTGGGAAGCTGGAATACAGGCTTAACTCCCATTGTGTTCCCTTAACTGAGCTCGCAGAAACATCTGCTTGTTTTCAGAAAACAAGCCTGCATATGTTCAGATGGCATCGCAAAGACAACACAAAGGTGTTAAGAAATGCCATAAAGGGTTTCTTGGGCTTTGGGGGGTGAGGTTATGTCCTGAGAGACCCTTGTCGTTGTGAACTCATGGCTGATCCTTCAGCATGTTTTCAGAGACAGTAGGTCGCTTGGGAGTAGATCTCTTATCCTTCTTTCTACACAGCAGCTAGTGGACTAGAATTGTGTCTTTGGGACTGCAATGCTTTTTACCACCAGGCCACCAGGAAGTTATTGTTATTGTTTGTTATTGTTATTGTTATTGTTATTGTTATTGTTATTGTTATTGTTATTGTTATTGTTAAGAACCATAGAGTCGGAACTGACCCAAGCTGATTCTCCTGCAGGTCTTCAAAGGCAGTTAGTGGCACAGGAGGAAATTGCCCATCCTTCTCCAATGGAACAGCAGGTGGCCTCGAATTGCATGCCTTTGACTTGGCAGCACAACTCCCTTACCCACTGGGCCACCAGAGAGCCATAGTCAATCAATATTACAGCTGTAATTTTTTTCCTCCTCACTTTATTCCCAGCTACTACGTGCAATTCTTTGTGAACAACTTGGTATATCGATTTTCCAGTTAGAACATTTTCTTCCTAAACTCAAGAGGGATCTAAACCTTAAGCCTTACAAGCAACTCTGTAAGTGTAAAATGTTTTCATTGTTCCTGTCTGCTTGTGGAGAGCGCTGGTGGCCTAGTGGGTAAGGAGTTACACTGCCAACCCAAAGGCTTGAGGGTCAAATCCACCAGCTTAGGAAAAAGATGGGCAATATTCTCCCATTAAATTCACAGCCTCTTGAGAACCTGCTTGAGACCCATGAGTCTGTTTGGGTGTAACAGCAATAAATCTGAGTTGTAGGCTTAACTGCTTGTGGTGTTTGCCTTTAGAAATCTCTGTGAAATTGCTCTTTGGAGCATCAGGTGAAACTAGACTTCTGCTCCCAAGATAAACTTTTACTTTCACAGTATGGGTGTACTTCTGTGCTGCTGTAATTACTGTGGATTACTTAACATGACACTTCTAGCCATAAACTCACTGCCTACAAGTTGATTCCAGCCCACGGCAGTCCTCAGCAGGTTTCTGAGGCTATAAAGCTCAACAGGAGGAGCTGGCCCGTCTTTCCCTCACAGAACAGCTGGTGGTGGGTTCAAACCACCAGGGCGGTGCAGCCTTTGGACTGCCAGCTTCGCAGATTATTCTGCCACTTTTCTAGATCTTTACGTTGCACATCAGATCTGGGGCTGGTGGTGCCTCACTTGTTTAACCTGCCTGTGAGGATGACCACAATTTCCCCTGCTCTGTGATCATCCGGGATTTCAAATCCGCCAGTGTAGCCACACTGTAAGGAACAGAACTATGACTTTGAAGCACGGCCTGCTAAGAACCTAGCATTAGCCTCTCTTTTCAGCAATGGCAATGCTCTTGAGAGCATCAGCCAGGACATTCATACGCACCACTGTGGTGGCACAGAAAGATGGTGGAAAGAGCTAGGAGAGGTTCTTAATAGCAGATTTTTCCCGCTGTAACACGTCTTTTATTTTGTTTTGTTTTATTACTGTTACCAAGGGTGTAGATTGTGGATCCAAAGACAGTGAAATTGTTGCATAGTCTCCCTTTTTTTTCTTTTCTTTCTTATTGTAAAACATGAGGGTGTTTCTGTGCCTATGGTTGTGGCCCCATCTGTACATCAAATAGAATTGGGATGAGATGTATCTAGAATTGTCACCTTCCTGAGTAGCATTTTATACTAGAGGAGAAAAGACACCAACAGATTCAAAGACAGTCTATTACCAAAACAGCAACTCATTGCTGTCAAGTCAAAGCTAACCCATAGCTGGTCTGTCACTAGGGGTTTTTTTTGTTTGTTTTTTTTAAAATTTCATCTTTATTATTTTTTTTTAATTTAGGTTGTTTATATTTCCTTTCAATGAACATCTACAGAGATTTTGGGATTCCATTCATTCATTGTTGCACCCTTCTCCCCGCACAAACCCCTCCTCCC